ATTTTTTGTCGGTGTCAGATTATCAGAAATAATCAAAAGAGAAGCAAAAAATATTCCCGTGAAAAAAGCCCAAATGAATTATATATCAGTTAAATGTTATTTGACAAAAGACAGGTAGGTGATAATTTCACCGTATCTCAGAGAATTCTATCGATAAAAAAACAACAAAAAACAAAACCGACATAGAGCTGGAATACTACTATTATTTTCTATATAGCTTTATGTTAATTGTCTCATTTGCATGCTCATGAATATTAATGCTAATATTACTGTTGTGGGGCTCTCCCATTTTTACATAAGATGGACTCGTCCAAAGTATACTTATACTGACAGAGAGAATACCTGCTGCTGAGATACGTGGAGATAGGTTGAGAGATACGGAGACAGACACAGGGTGTTCTCAGAGAGTTATACAAGAGTCCAGAGAGAGAGAGAGATGATTACGGCTTTACTTACAGAGATTTGTTCATATACTTTCTACTAACTCGCATTCCTGGACTACTAATCTTCACTTCAAGTCTGTATTCTTACGTTTAATACACTTATTTTTCTATCTCAATTACTGGCGTTGTTTATTTATTTGTGCAGGATTCCATTCACGCAATTCACAACAATTATAGAATTACAATCGTTAAAAATCATTCACTTTTACCTGATTGCACTGCAAGCTCAATTAAATGGGCATAATAAAAAGTTTTCAAGAAAAATGACTTTTAAATTATACATAATTTATCTGTTTCCGTGACAAATGTTTACTTCAGACAAAGAAGACGTGTAAGCAATAAATTCAACATATTTCCTGCCAATGATGGGATAAATGCGTAAACAAGAAATACAAATAAAGTTGAGACACTTGTGGCTTTTAAGCGTATCGCTTTAGCACTTAATTTTATTTGCAAATTTATGAATATTAATTACAACCTAAGATATAAGGAAGATATAAGGTTAAATATACTGTTTCCTTTCAGTTTTAAAATGAGGTATTCTTGTTTAAAGCTCCAACAAGAGAGAATTCTTGTTTGAAGATCTAACACGATGTATTCTCGCTTGAAGCTCAAAGGTTTAACATGACGTATAGTTTGAAGCTCTAACAAGGTGTATTCTTGTGTTAAGGTCTAACAAGACGTATTCTTATGACAAACACTATACATTTTTTCTACAGAAATGTGGCAACCATTTTTGAGGATTGTTATTGGTCAAAAAATAGAAATATGACAACTGAAATTTGTATATCGGTAGACTCTTTTTGCAAAAGATTGACAAGTTCATAAGTATGCATTTTTATGCAGAAATGAAGCTGCCATTTTTATGCAAATGCATCCCCTAGAGACATAGAATTTTTAACTTTCATCTTTATATATTTTGGACAATGAGAGGAGACTACATTTGTGTGAATCTTTCACACGACTTATTCATATTTAAAGGTCTCTCAGTGTATACACAAATAGAATCTATCTGTACAAACTATATATTTTCATCACATTTGCATATCAGATTTAATCGTTATGGCGTCATAGAACGTTATGATTGCCATGATAACGCTAATTTCTATTCCCATAAACTGTCACTTTTATATCTGAAAGGGCTTTCAAGCAAGATAAAAATCGCTCGTCAGGAACTTAAAGTAGTGAGCCACTTCAAATAGCTTAGTTCGATTATCAACGAAGAAGGCCTCTGAATAGAAATAAATCCAGGAGCAACAAAAAACAGAGGCACCATTCGCAAAGCTGAAAACTAGCTAGAAAGATAAGAACATCTGCTTGAAATTAGAAATAAAAATGTTGCACGGATTGATTTTCTCAGTATCTGCGAATCCTGGACATCAACCGTAGAATTAAAGCGAATACTCGAAGCATTAGAAATTAAATGCAAGAGAACCCTCTTATTTAACTTCTACGCAGACCACACCAGGAATAGCACCGTGCGGGCACCATCAGACATGAAACAGACCATTTGAGAGAACCCATAAGTATAGTCTAGAAGAGAAATGTCAAATAGTATGGTGTTGTGTATTGAACTAATAAATGAATAAATAATAACTAAATAATAAATAGATAAAAGTAATTAATAAATAGCAATTAATATAAATAAAATATTAATTACATTTAGTGATTAAATTAAGTAGTAATTAAATTAATTAGTAAGTAAACTAAAGTAACATAATGTATTAATTGTTTATATTATTCAGTCAGTTACATTTAGGCGATTATGTATCTTTGGCGACAAAGATGAGGACAATAGTCCGAATAATATAAATAGTGTACATAATACCTCATCTCAGAAATATAGACAGATACTGAATGCCCGAAACGTTGTAATAAATAAGGCGACAAAAATGAGGACAATAGTCCGAATAATGTAAATAGTGTACATAATACCTCATCTCAGAAATATAGACAGATACTGAAGGACCGAAAATTTGTAATAAATATGGCGACAAAAATGAGGACAATAGTCGGAATAATGTAAATAGTGTACATAATACCTCATCTCAGAAATATAGACAGATACTGAAGGACCGAAACGTTGTAATAAATATGGCGACAAAAATGAGGACAATAGTCCGAATAATGTAAATAGTGTACATAATACCTCATCTCAGAAATATAGACAGATACTGAAGGACCGAAACGTTGTAATAAATATGGCGACAAAAATGAGGACAATAGTCCGAATAATATAAATAGTGTACATAATACCTCATCTCAGAAATATAGACAGATACTGAATGGCCGAAACGTTGTAATAAATATGGCGTCAAAGATGAAGAGAATAGTCCGAACAATGTAAATAATGTGCTATCGATAAATCGATGAAATGGATTTTAGGTCAAGATTTTGCATAGCATCTGCCGGTTTATTGTCTTCAACAGTTTCAGCCAAAATTCCGTATATTATATACAGGAATTCTACATCAGGGAATCTGGCAGAGTCTTATTCGAGTGTAACCTATGTATTAGAAAGAGCTATCATACGTGTTTTTTGTTTTTTTATTCCTGGATGCATATGTAGTGTTTTTCAGATCGTTAGTAAACATCTCAGATTGTGCCACAGTTTACGTCTGTACCTCCCAAAATCAAGATGCTCATATCTTGATAACAAATAGTTCCAGAGACCTAGATTTTAGCTTAATTGGGGAAAATCTGTAACTTTTAAGACTTCCAAAAAATAAACTAGTAACGGCTCCTTATCCCCAGACCGTCGATGATCTGTAGTCACTATGAACAGTACTACTCTCAATAAAGTATATTGCTTTGAACGTCTCTTGGAATTCTGTAGACCTCAAATGGAACTTGTATATACGGTACATCGCTAAAGATGCTGAAAAATGAGCGTCTCTTTCTACGACCCCCAAAATAATCTTACTCCTCCTGTCATTTTAACAAGAGTCAGATCACACCAAAAATCATGTATTGCTGACTCATTTACGTTACAGCTGATCGCTCGTAACTTTCAACCGTTGACAGAGATTAAAATCATTTTTGCTCCCTTTACCTGTGGGTAAGCAACATCGCGAGCATGTCGATACTTTGACACTATTTATATGGGAACTGTTCAAGTGGGCTCCATTCTTGAGTGCCACCGGTGCAGTTAGTTGCGGAGAAGACCTGTTTGCTGCAAACAAATTGTAAAATCAGCTTCATCCCCTAGGAATTCCCTTTGTAATAAGGATCTATCCCCCACCAGAATGCTTCTTCCTAAGAGCTGCTACTTTGTGGAACAAACTCCCGCGTGGATATTTCCTCAAACACTACAATGTTAGCCACTTCATGTTCACGGTCAGTCTTTTTCTGTCCATCCTATCCTCGTAATTTTCACTTCCTAATTCTTCGTCTTACGCTCATATCTCACGCCTTATTTTGTAACTCTCTACCTTGAGAGACTCTCAGGCCTAGTATTAGGTGAAGTTTAGTTTAAAAATAAGTTGATGCGAGAAAACTTTATGATGCATACTAAAAGTCACAATGGAACTGGAAAATGTGGTTCCAGTTTTATAGAGATCACTGGGAATTATGAAAAGATTTGTTCGTCAAAACTGAAGGAAATATATGAGAACTGATATAGAATTTTAGAAGATCAATGGTTTTCACTAACAGAATAACAGACAGCAGAAGTAAAACATCATTATTAATGTCATAAAAAGAATTCCCTTACGCCAATTATGGCAGCATTCTATTCGTAGTATTTAATGGCTTCAGCCTCATCAGGATAACGAGGAAGTGTGAAGAGACACTGTAGCGCCAAAAGTCATGGGATAAGTATCTACACTTCTATAGGTGTTATGATGTTGATTTGGGGTTAGTAGAGACAAACGCCAAATAACACGTAACAATAAAAAGGGTTTTAATAGGTTGGTAACAAGGTACAGAAATCGCCTGAGTAGTCAGTAACAAAGCTCAGCTAAGAACTTCTCTGTCTGAAAGATCTTCCCCCATGTCAGAGACATGCCACTATTTAAAGTCTCTGTTCACAGACGCAATGACAAGTTCATCTTCATGAACTTGTCTGCGTCTAAAAAATCAGTTTTTTATTGTTACGTGTCATTCTGGTTAATTTTGTCTCTACTAACCCCAAATACTAACAAATCATCATAACAGAAAAGTATGTCAGATTTTTAGTACTTAAAAGTAAGTCATTTTTTTAGTACTGAAAAGTAAGTCAGATTTTAAGTACTTAAAAGTATGTCAGAGTTTTAGTACTTAAACGCAAGTCAGATTTTTAGTATTTAAAAGTAAGTGAAATCATTGTTACATTTGTTTTGTCTCCTGTTGTTTGTCCTGATTGGTCACTGTTTTTTTTTTTTCGGAAGTCTACTTTTTCTGAACATTTTGTCTTTCGTTTTGTGTGTTGCGGTGTGGCCCTCACCGCTACGAAGCTGTGGCAAACCGATTCACCGAACCCCTCAACCTGGGTAGAGGATAGGCCTAAAACCCACAAGGGTAAGGCGTATTATGCGGCACTACAGTAACGGTACTGGGGCTACATATCCAGTATCGTCTTACGGTCACACCTGTTCCCATACGATCATCGAAGTTAAGCAATGTCGAGCTTGTTCACTACCTAGATGGGTGACCGCTTGAGAATACCAGGTGCTGTAAGCTTGGTATAATGGATAATGGATCGGAATTGTTAATTGGAATTCCAATTTCGAATTTCAGTTGGGTTTGTTATATTCCCTTACGCGCCAATATCCTTGGGAAAGGTGTGAATCCACCTGTTCTCCCCACAACAGTGGGTTAATTAATAACTCCTGTACCACTAGAACCATTATAATTTCCAATAAATAAATAAAATTGCGTAAAAAATATTTATATTTCGGCTTTAAATACCCAATAAATGTTGATATGCCACTAAACAAAAACAACGAGAAGCAAACAACTTTGCTGTTAAACTTATCACCATATCCTTTGCATTGAAGGCGGTGGCCATCCGGACGATTTCCCTGCTGACCACGGATGTAAAATCCAGGAAACTGATCACCTCCATCTCAGTCCCTCTCGTTGAAACGGGGAAGAGAAATAGTAGTAGTAGTAGAAGAAGAAGAAGCCAAGGAGGAGAGGAAATCTGGTCGAATTAGATCAACCTAAAACCCAATCTGTCCCTGCTTCGCCAGCAAGATCTGAACAAAAATCGTCGATATCAGGTTAGCAAGGATCCTCCCTTTTCCTCCTTCAAGATCTTCGTCATCACTCTCTTCCAACCCATCCTAGAAAAACAAAAGCTTAGCCAAGGGTGTGGCTATCCTTAAATCGGACAGGAAGGCCCTCGGGAAGGACCAGTCCTCACAAAGGAAGGCTCCTTTGTAGTCGTTGTTTAAGATTACCTCCGTCGACGTTCCCAAAGCTTCTGGGGTAATTGACCTTATACGGAACACCGGCGTTAGACTGAAAGTTTAGGAATTCATGTCTACCGCCAAGAACTCTTTCCCTTAGCTCAGGAGGCCTCGAATATTGTTTCCTCCTCCTTAATTGATAGTCTATTCTGGGGGTTAGCAACCTGGATAGACTTTTAGTGAGATGGGTCGATTCACATCTACTAGATTGTCTCACGTCTCCCTGTTTAGGTCATTCTGACCACAAACTCGTTTAGGTCTAAAATGGCTGAACAACGCGCACTTCCGGTTACAGATAACTGCGTTAGTGAAGCGGGAAATTAGTGTGGGTGGTAGTTAAGAATAAGTGATAAGAAAATATTAAGGATAGGATTACGGCTTCCGCAAACGAATACAACCAATAACTCACCTTAGATAAGGCAAAGAAGGTGAAAACATTAAAGGATGTATGGCCCAGGCTGTAGGTGAAGGATTGTCTAGAGATAAGCTTAGCCAGAGAGAACCTAAAGCATTCGTCTAGCTCAGAGGTCGTCAACCGCCAGGCCACATCCGGCTTGCGAATGATTTTAGTCTGGCCTGACAACTTAACTGAATCAAGGCATTTGAATTATTTGTTGATTGTGTTAGTTGTTATACCTGCAGTAAAATAAGGAAACTTGTTTCAATAATATAATATTAACTTCGTTGTTTTTTCTTTAAACCTCCAGACCAAGGTAGCCTTCTGGACGGAGCGGTCTGAGGTCAAAACAGTTTATTATAGGACATATATCATGGCCCTCCGAGACACTGCCTAGCTGTATAGTTCGCTCTCTCCAAAAGGTACTACCAGAGACATGTACTTAGGCATAGGTTGAATAAAATGCCTAACAAAGCCATGAAGGAAATACGTCCAGGTTTTCCCCCGAAGTTGCTGTTTTAAAGAATACTAGAGAAAAAACTAACTCCTCAAATTATCGACCTATAAGTACCTTACCTCTTTTCGGTAAAGTTCTCGAGGCCCTAATCAATGCCGAACTGGTTAAACATCTTACTTTGAACGACCTCCTTTCGGGCAAACAATATGGTTTCCGATACGCCAGGGCTACTATTGACGCGTTAACTGCCAGCCGTGAAGTTATATTTCAAGTTTTAGATAACACTGGGAAAGCTCGAGCTGTAGTTCTAAATATCTCGAAAGTGTGTAACAGGGTTTGGTATACTGACATTCTATGAAAACTTGAGAACTGTAGTTTCACGTGAGGTATATTTAGATTAATCCAGTTGTATCTAAACAAACAAGTAATGCAGGTACTATTGAACTTGTTCCCTTCCAGATTATTTCATACTAAAGCGGCCCTTCCCCTGAGGGCCTATCCTTATACATACGTTGTTCATCAATGATTTCTCTGGTGTCATCATTTTCCAACGAGGTATTTATACGGATGATACTACCATTTACTACAGTCTTAGTAGCAAGATCAGACAAAGTAAACCTGAAAATACTCTTTAAAATGATCTCCAATCAGTTGTTAACTGGGGCAAGAAATGGCTTGTTAATTTCAACGCCTTCAAAGCAAAACTGCTTTCATTTAATCTGCACAGAGAAACGTTTCTGGTTACCATCGAGATGACGGTTTCTGAACTCCGTGGGGAGTAACAATCTATGATTTATTGGCCTCGCCTTTTCCCCTGACGTGAAATGAAACGAGAATATCGAGTTAATTGCTACGTCTGCTGCGAGGAAGCTTGGTTCGTTGGTCAGAATCAATCTTGCACATGTATAAATCTACCAGCCGTCCGGGTATTGAATGTTACTGCCACATCTGGTTTTGTGTTCCTAATGTTCAAGTAGAAGTTCTTGACAAAATCCAGAGAAGGATCTGCATTACAATCCTGACCAGCGATCCCGTCTTCAGTCAATTTCTCACTGACGTGACGTGGCTTCCCTCTGCCTTTTCTATAAATATTTTCATGGCAGCTGCTCGGGTGAGTTTTTTTTTCCTTGTGCCCTGACTACATGAATTTAAGCGTGCTACTAGACTGGCAACTAGGTCTCATTGTTTTACCGTTAAACTTTGCTAGACGCCGCTTCTATTCTAACAGTTTCTTTTCTCGCACTTCCAACCTGTGGAACTCCATTCCGTTTTCTTTCTTCCCGGACAACTTCAGTTTTAAAAGAGATTAATGCAACGTCAATCGCCATCTTCTATCTTCGCGAACCCTGTGCGCTTTGTCCTTACACTAATTCTTTCCATTTTCAATCTAATCATTCTCTTTCGCATTCACTCCTTGTAACGCTTTGCGTCCTAGCAGCTCTGGGTCGAATGATTAAAAAAAGATAGACAGATAAATAGATACGAAGAGAAAGAGATTGATAGATATGAACATAGATAAATACATATGAAGTGACGTAGATAGATAGATACCTATGAAGAGACTGATAGATCAGTAGATAGATATACAGCTATGAAAATACTGAGATAGATAGATAGACAGATAAATAGATATGAAGAGACTGAGATAGATAGATAGATAGATAAATAGATAGATATGAAAAGACTGAGATAGATAGATAGATGGATAGAATGATAGATAGATAACTATAAAGAGACTGAGATAGATCGGTAGATATATATATATATATATAGCTATGAAAATACTGAGATAGATAGATAGATAGATAGATAGATAGCTTTGCATAGACTAGATTAAACCATTGTAGATAGAAAGACAAACATGCCTTGCGTTCTAGCGGCTCTGTGTGAAATGATTAAAAAAGATAGACAGATAAATAGATATGAAGAGAATGAGATAGATAGATATGAACATAGATAAATACATATGAACGTAGATAGATATATAGATAGATAGATAGTTAGATAGATAGTTAGATAGATAGATAGATTTGAATAAATAGATGGATACCTATGAAAAGACTGAGATAGATAGGTAGATAGATATGGCTAGACTAGATTAAACAGTTGTAGATAGAAAGACAAACATGCACACGTCATATCAAAAGAAATTGTCATATTTATTGTGACATTTCAAAACTGTGCGGCCATTGAATTAATGAACCATGACTGAACATTCCCTTGTCGTTCGGATGCGTAGATGTAGAATTGTCAGTCTGATGTGCAAACATTGGTCTTTAATAATGACATTGGATGGGACACTTTGGATTTAGTGAATAATTTATATATATATATATATATATATATATATATATATATATATATACGGAGAGAGAGAGAGAGAGAGAGAGAGAGAGAGAGAGAGAGAGAGAGTTTGGTTTGTTTATGCGTCATTTAATGCCGAAATTGAATTTTCTGAAGAGCATTGGTAATTTGTTTTTCAAAAATGCGTTGCTGTTAATTTTTTTACTCCGAAAATGTATTGTTGTCATTCTTACCACAAAAATAATATATTTTTACATTTTCATAATGATTTGACCCCAGAGAATGTCTGTATGAACGCCATCATTTTCATGGCAAAAAATATGGAGGCACCATGTCCCGTGTGATATTTTATAAAGCTGTGCTTTTTTGATTGCGACAAAGGATCCACGAACGGCGTTCTTCAACTGATGGGTATTGTGGTATCGTTCATGTGAAATTCTCTCCTTGATAATACCCCACAGAACGTTAAAATAGAAAATTATATCCTGTAGGGATAACAAGACTTTTGGACAACCTTGTAGATTAGATGTATGCAAAAGTTTCCAATATTACATACATTGTCTATTGCATGTTCAATGTGTGGAATTTGGCTGGATAGATATAGCCACACAATGACTCCAGGACCACGTACGATTCATACCACGTCACGTAACCACCACTATTCAGGCTTAAAGAGGAACTAGACATTATTATGTAGTTGTCGCTTCTCATTATGTACACAGATAAATAGAAACATTTCGACCAGCTGTCGTGTAAGATATTGGCATTCTATGTATCTACCCAAACCGCTCTAATCCAGCCAGGCAGGTAATAAACAAGACCTACTATTGTCTCCCGAAGAAATGGCGGGTGTGGGGGTACGCTTATGAAAATTTAAAAAATGAGCAAACCTGCCACAACTTTATTTTAACATCTCTCGTTAATAAAAACTCCATGGCGACAAACAATTCAAGTCGTGAAAAATGTATATCTTACTTATTATAAAACGCAGATTGTGTGTGTGTGTGTGTGTGTGTGTGTGTGTGTGTGTGTGTGTGTGTGTGTGTGTGTATCTGTTACGTTTATATATTGGATCGGATTTCCTACATTTTTCAACCAATTTCAACAAA